TGCAATGATTCATCTTCTTTGGTTCTTTCGGTAAAGTCACGTAGAATGAGAACAAAATAATAAATTGATAAAATAAAATAACGCAATAATATTCTCACGACGTTTCGGCCACAACACAAGCGGCCTTCATCAGGTGAAGGGAGCGAGACTGTCTGGTAGGACAGCGCTGGAGTGAGAGAGCCACGTTCAGATCACGGCTTTTAAGCTGTGTGAGAGGAACAAAGAGCCTTGACGAAGGAATTAGCATAAAATTTAGCATTGAAAAGGCTGAATGATTAGCTTGTGACTGGTCACAGAAATAGCTATGTTAAAAGTTAAAGCATACACATCCGCAGAGGCACCCATTGTTAAAAGGAATTAGCATAGAATTTAGCATTGAAATAGCTAAATTAAGGCATTCGCTTGTAACTGCTACAGAAATAGTTACGTTGAAGTCAGAGCATACACATTCACCGAGGCACTTAGTACAAATCAAAACAGGAGAATTTAGCATTGAAATAACTAGGCGAATTTAGCATTGAAATAACTGGGTGATTTGCTAGTGACTGGTCACAGAAATGACTACAAATCTGAGCTATTCACAGTACTATATAGTGAACCAATAAAAACTAAAATATAAATTACCTTCATGTTATCAATAAACTCTATATTCTCCAATCAGCTAAGCTACCAACCATAAGTCGTTATATATCACAATGCTATATGGTGAACAAATGGGTGGATTCTTACCCTCAAATTTCCGTACCACGGATAGCTACGGGCCCCGTTCAGACGGACGAGTTCGTCCATGGTCGGAACAGAGGAGGGGGAGAGAGACAGCTGCGAAGCCCTAGTATACTCCATGTTGTAAACCATACCATTAACCGTGGTGTGAGAGGTATTAAGAGGCAATGCTGGCGAAAGAGCTGCGGTCTGAAGGTCATCGTAAAATTACAATTAATTAAGAACAGAAATGATTTAACACATCTTTCCAGTGCTTCGCAGCTGTCTCTCTCCCCCTCCTCTGTTCCGACCATGGACGAACTCGTCCGTCTGAACGGGGCCCGTAGCTATCCGTGGTACGGAAATTTGAGGGTAAGAATCCACCCATTTTTTCGCCATATAGCATTGTGATATATAACGACTTATGGTTGGTAGCTTAGCTGATTGGAGAATATAGAGTTTATTGATAACATGAAGGTAATTTATATTTTAGTTTTTATTGGTTCACTATATAGTACTGTGAATAGCTCAGATGTGTAGTCATTTCTGTGACCAGTCACCAGCAAATCACCCAGTTATTTCAATGCTAAATTCGCCTAGTTATTTCAATGCTAAATTCTCCTGTTTTGATTTGTACTAAGTGCCTCGGTGAATGTGTATGCTCTGACTTCAACGTAACTATTTCTGTAGCAGTTACAAGCGAATGCCTTAATTTAGCTATTTCAATGCTAAATTCTATGCTAATTCCTTTTAACAATGGGGGCCTCTGCGGATGTGTATGCTTTAACTTTTAACATAGCTATTTCTGTGACCAGTCACAAGCTAATCATTCAGCCATTTCAATGCTAAATTTTATGCTAATTCCTTCGTCAAGGCTCTTTGTTCCTCTCACACAGCTTAAAAGCCGTGATCTGAACGTGGCTCTCTCACTCCAGCGCTGTCCTACCAGACAGTCTCGCTCCCTTCACCTGATGAAGGCCGCTTGTGTTGTGGCCGAAACGTCGTGAGAATATTATTGTGTTATTTTATTTTATCAATTTATTATTTTATTCTCATTCTACGTGACTTTACCGAAAGAACCAAAGAAGATGAATCATTGCAGTCACGAAAGCTTTAAATCGAAATTTAACCGCCTCTACGGGGAGGGATTCCACACATCCTTAAGATCATTCAACAGACTTCGGGATAAGAAGGCTCAACTAATCGAGTCTCTCACCTTTCTGAAGAGATGCCGCGACTCTAAGGTAATACCAACCGCATTTACACTAACCTCTGCTGTTGCAACTTCTCTCAATGCAAAACGAATTCTAGCTAGAACTAGCTTCGCTCTTATCTCGGAAAAAATCAGACTTACACGCACCGAACTCGATCAGTTAGACAAGACACTCTACAAATCACACTTAAAATTGACAGCAACAATGTCTACATCGGATTGGGAACATGTAGACAATATGACTACCTCTTCGGCTGCCACTATGTCGAACAAATGTAGGGACAATTTGATTTCCAAATTCAATCACCTCTCCAGCAAAAAATCGGATCCACACACCGAAAAGATAGACGTCAACAAAGTCGTAATTAATCGCAGTAACAGTTCCATTTCTGATGGTCTGAAATCCGTTTTAGCTAAAGGTCTAAACTTTGCTGTCACACCGAGACACTTACCGGTTAATGATATCATTGCCCATGTCGACGTTGCACTCAAGGGCTTGAGTCACATCTCTGCAGACGTAGCAAGATCTGAAATCGCTGCAACCCTCAAAAACGCTAAGTTGCCACCTAGCAACATCAGCAAAGACGAACGTTTTGAATTATCTCAATTAAAAAAGAGGGATGATATTGTCGTTCTCTCAGCCGACAAAGGCAATGCCACTGTCATCATGGACAAAACAGAATATAACAACAAAATTCAAGAACTACTCAACGATGGCAGCTATACAAAAATAAAAAGAGATCCCACCAACAGCCTGGTCACCAAAACGAACAAAATGATCTCTGATTCAACAGCATTAATTGATGAGAACAAACAGTTCTTGTTGAAACCCTCTGCTGCCAGACCACCAAGATTATATGGCCTTCCAAAGATACACAAAGAAGATACACCCCTTCGTCCCATCGTCTCTACTATCAGCTCCCCCACCTACAAACTGGCACGTTTTCTGGCTGATATACTGCGACCTTTCACTGGAAAAACCACCTCTGCGGTACTAAATTCGACTCACCTGGTATCGACAATCAAAGACATTTCCCTGTCCCCAAACGACCTGCTTGTCAGTTTTGATGTGGTGTCCTTGTTCACCAAAGTCCCGGTACCTGACACCATCGCTATCATTGAAGCATCAAGGACTGCATACTGATGTACCCCCCCTGGTGAGACATTGCTTAACCAACACATACTTCACCTGGAATGGAACTTTCTACAAACAAACTGAGGGCACCCCAATGGGCTCCCCCCTATCTCCGGTTGTAGCCAACGTATTCATGGAAAAATTTGAAACTGACGCCATCCAGACTGCCACTCTACGCCCGACCTTATGGAAGAGGTACGTTGATGACACCTTTGTCATCTGGCCACATGGCCAGCCTGCTCTAGACCAATTCCGCGACCACATCAATTCCATACACCCAGCCATCAGATTTACCATGGAGGTCGAAAAAGATGGCAAACTACCCTTTCTGGATGTCTTAATTAAAAGGAGACATGATGGTTCAATGAGCCACTCTGTCTACAGGAAAGCTACCCATACAGATGCTTACTTGAAACCGGATTCCCACCACCATCCATCCCAGAAGAACTGCCTCATCAAGACTCTATACCATAGAGCCCAATGCATTTCCGACCAGGAACACATTACCAGTGAACTCAAGCACGTACACCAGGCTCTCAGGGCTAATGGCTACTCCGACTACACAATCCGCAAAGCCATCACTCCAGTCATGAAGAAGGATCCTCTTGTGGAGCCACTCAAAACCATCACCTTACCCTACATTGCAGGGGTCACTAAAAAGATCTCCAAAATCCTGAATAAACACAAGATCCAGGTCCGATTCAACACAGTACACAAAATCCGTGATTTAGTTCCATCTGTAAAAGATGCTCTTCCAGACATACAGTACCCGGGCGTTTACAAACTAAAGTGCCTCTGTGGTAGTAGCTACATTGGAGAAACCAAAAGACATATCTCGGACCGCATCCGCGAACATAAAGCAGACTTGAAACACGGTAAGACGAACTCCTCTGCCGTGGCAGATCACTGTTACAATTCAGTGGGCTCACATGACATTGACTTCTCCAAGACGGAGGTTCTTTGCAAACCAACTGGCTACCATGAGAGATTCGTTCATGAGGCCATTCACATATACAAGCACAGAGACAATTTCAACCGAGAAGATGGATTCAGGCTTAGTAACCACTGGAAAGATGTGTTAAATCATTTCTGTTCTTAATTAATTGTAATTTTACGATGACCTTCAGACCGCAGCTCTTTCGCCAGCATTGCCTCTTAATACCTCTCACACCACGGTTAATGGTATGGTTTACAACATGGAGTATACTAGGGCTTCGCAGCTGTCTCTCTCCCCCTCCTCTGTTCCGACCATGGACGAACTCGTCCGTCTGAACGGGGCCCGTAGCTATCCGTGGTACGGAAATTTGAGGGTAAGAATCCACCCATTTTTTCGCCATATAGCATTGTGATATATAACGACTTATGGTTGGTAGCTTAGCTGATTGGAGAATATAGAGTTTATTGATAACATGAAGGTAATTTATATTTTAGTTTTTATTGGTTCACTATATAGTACTGTGAATAGCTCAGATGTGTAGTCATTTCTGTGACCAGTCACCTAGCAAATCACCCAGTTATTTCAATGCTAAATTCGCCTAGTTATTTCAATGCTAAATTCTCCTGTTTTGATTTGTACTAAGTGCCTCGGTGAATGTGTATGCTCTGACTTCAACGTAACTATTTCTGTAGCAGTTACAAGCGAATGCCTTAATTTAGCTATTTCAATGCTAAATTCTATGCTAATTCCTTTTAACAATGGGTGCCTCTGCGGATGTGTATGCTTTAACTTTTAACATAGCTATTTCTGTGACCAGTCACAAGCTAATCATTCAGCCTTTTCAAGGCTAAATTTTATGCTAATTCCTTCGTCAAGGCTCTTTGTTCCTCTCACACAGCTTAAAAGCCGTGATCTGAACGTGGCTCTCTCACTCCAGCGCTGTCCTACCAGACAGTCTCGCTCCCTTCACCTGATGAAGGCCGCTTGTGTTGTGGCCGAAACGTCGTGAGAATATTATTGTGTTATTTTATTTTATCAATTTATTATTTTGTTCTCATTCTACGTGACTTTACCGAAAGAACCAAAGAAGATGCTTATACATGTTTAGTGTGTGAATTCATTGGTAAGGTTATGCAATTAACGAAAATGACTGAAATACGTCTAAACGACCGTATTCATAGAACTCAAGGGACAGAACAATGCTTTTCATGATGAGCTAATAGGTAACGCACCACCTTGGGATGGCAACCCTTTTCGAAACACAAAGATAACTTTTTGGAGCAACCTTATTAGTACCAATATGCGTGTTGTGTGTGTGGGTGTGTTGTCTTCTTGCTAACTGTTGAGTTAGCGGCTTCCGAAGTGTTGCGTTTCTTGTACCTAAAATACCTTGGGTCCCCAAAAGGGGTGCTGGGTCGGCATGTGTGTCGAACACAAGGCGCTCTCGGCTGCTTCGTCAGTCTCTCTCCACCGCTGGGGTGGTTGCCGAGTTGGCACGCTGGACACGATGTCAGCGGTGCCCGTGCTGGCAGGGATGATGGGTCTGGCTCAGTCTGCGTCGATGTGCGCGATCATCTCGTCGTCAGACACCGCTCGCAGCTCGTCCGCTGGTTGCTGTGCGTCACCCCCCTTGGCATCAGACACTGTTGATCCTTGTAGACTTTGGAGCGACTTGGAGAAACAGCGCCTGTCGTCTCCCCCCCCCCCCCCCCCCCCCCCTCTTTCAGTTGTCTGTACGACTCGTGCTGCACAGAGGACACGCTACAGATCAACTAAACTTCGCCTGTGGGTTTCGATTTAAAGGGGCACTCTCACAATTGTGGTTGCACCAGTTTTCCCTCAAAGGGTTGACTTTGATTGGAGCACAATCGGAACGATTGTCACTCTATGATCGTATGTGTTGGCTGTACACAGTGACCTCACCACCGGGAATAGTAATGCTACTGCACTCTTCCCCACGTTTGTATTGTAATACTGGGAGCACCAGCCTTGGCTGGCAGCCTCTCTCAATGATGCAAAAAAACCTCTCCATGATGCCGGGCTTCTGCTGATGCAGAGCTCCTTATGAATTTGCCAGTCACGAGGGCAATCCCCGGAGCCTGCCACTCAGTACTTCGTCTTTCGTATGGCATTGTGAAAAGCAACGGTTTAATTTTTAATGATCGTCATAAATTAATGCAAAGGTTCCTCATCCAGTCCAATGATGTGGTTGACAGTGTGGATTTCAGCGATACCGCCAGGATGTGCATGGATGGAGCATTCATCGGTGACGTGCTCGATGGTTTGGATTTCTCCACAGTCGCAGTTAAGCGATTCTTTGAGCAGTACTGATTTATGTTCTTGCGTTCTTCCTTATCTGAATTTTTCCACCTCAGGCTTTTTCCTCACAAAGGGGTAGCTATTTTCCTTTTGAAGTCGCTTGGGCTGTTTGTTGTCCGGATGTCTTTATTACCGCCATGTTTCCATTCACATTTTGGGCAGCGTTCCCCACATTCCCATCATGGGTTGGAAATGTAAAAAAAATTTTGTATCAGACTTGCGGTCTCTCTCAAAAAGGGGCACTGTGACTTTGAAGTCGTGACCTATTGTGTAAGGGTGTGTTTTGCTGTCGCCATGTTTTCCGTCCTCTCATCACGGGTTGAAAGTATAAAAAAGTACACTTCTTATAGCTTGGAACCGTACCACTTTCTGCAGTTTTGACTCTGCAAGCGACTCAAAGTACGTTTTGAGCAGAGTTCACAGCACTCACGTCACGGTTTGGAATTCTTGCGTGGTATTTGATATATTAGGGGGAGGCGCCCCCTGCATACATAATTTACTGCTACCATGTGCTGTGAGCTACTGGAAGACCAAGGCAGTCAGTGAGGCTCTGATCCTCTGGAATACGTATTATCTTGGTCGTGTGTGATTGACATATTTTGCATTGTATCTCTTCTGAATGCCCATAGGTCAAACTGTCATAATTATGATTTGGTTCATGCTTAACCAAGATTTGTGGTATACCATAGTTATTACCAAGAATATTCTGAGGATTTTATTAACCTTTGTTCCCCATCTGTATCACCAGGGATCCGTGCTTCTTTCAAGTTATATTTTGATATCCTGAGGTTGAAGATATAGCTAAGCTTCAAACCTTTTTGTTGTATTTTAAAAACCCCAGTCAGCTCATAATGATTAACTGCCCTTCGGTGGATTTCACTGTCCAAGGGAGGTTCTTGACCCCTGCTGTTTCCGCCTTATGTTTGTTTTATTGTGGGTTGTTTCCTTTATGGCGGCCGGGGATTACCCGCAGAATCTCATTAGCCCCCCTTGGGTTTGCCGTTTTTTTATTACATTTTATGAAGTCCCCAGCAGGCTTGTGAGTAATTATCCTCTAGTTGTCTTTTGTGTGGCAAGGGAGGAGGCAGCGGAGGGGGGGGACTGACCCTTTCCGTGCCCAAGCGCTACATCCCGATCAAAATTATTACAAAAAATAGGCAGAATCACTATTAATATAAAATTTTGGAAAAGGCATATATGCAACATGCTGTTCAAGTGTGTGTGATGAGATGTGATACAACACTCCGATTTGCTGAGGCGACTAAGCAAGCACCAGATAAATGCTAATATTATGAAAACATTGTGAATGCTTGGCTCTGGCTCCTGGATAGAGATCTACCCAACCGCCAGGTCCGCAAATACTGGCCGCTCTTCCTTTGCAGGGTTGAACCTAGAAATTGAGTGTTAAACTTCACGTTCTTTTCATTAAAGACCTGTGACAAAGGTGAATCTATTGCAGCTCCATTGTCTCAAGCTTACTCATCTACCCGGACTCTATTTTACTTTGTATTGTCTAAGAAGTCCACCCACACCTCCACTTCCACAAACTGCTCGGAGTTGCCACGCTCTGCTTCACAGTCAGAATTCTCCTCCTGCTTCACGTTGCCTCCATCGATGTGAAGGTCCGATTTTGCAGTTGAATCTTCATTTTCACATTTTACTGTCACTTCTTTGCTCTTCACCATCACTTCTTCACATTTCACTTTCACTTCATCGCTCTTCACCATCACTTCTTCACATTTTACCTTCACTTCTTCGCTTGTCACCATCACTTCACATTTCACCTTCGTCTCTTCAAATTTCACCTTGATACAATTCATAGTGTCCAAGCTGGAATTTACTTCTGGTTCTTTTTTCAGGAGGGATGGGCTCATTGCAGCACTTTGACTTTCACAAGTCGATTTCAGACTACATTCCTTGGGGATCTTCTGATGCCTGTGTGTCCTCTGGTGTCTATGAAGAACTGATGGCCAATCAAATGCCTTCTCACACATAGTGCACTTGAAGGGTTTCTCTCCTGTGTGTGTTCTCTGGTGTCTTTCAAGATGCGATGAACCTGAAAATTCCTTCCCACACACACTGCACTTGAAAGGTTTCTCTCTCGTGTGTGTTCTCTGGTGGTTCTGAAGAGTAGATGACTGTGCAAACGCCTTCCCGCACAGAGTGCACCTGAAGGGTTTCTCTCCTGTGTGTGTTCTCTGGTGCATTTTAAGATAAAATGAAATTGAAAATGCCTTCCCACACACACTACACTTGAAGGGTTTCTCTCCTGTGTGTGTTCTCTGGTGCATTTTAAGATAAAATGAACTTGAAAATGCCTTCTCACACCAACTGCACTTGAAAGGTTTCTCTCCTGTGTGTGATCTGTGGTGGATCTGAAGAGCTGATGGCCATGAAAATGTCTTCCCGCACACAGTGCACTTGAAGGGTTTCTCTCCTGTGTGAGTACTCTGGTGCTGTGTCAAATTTCCAGTACGATCCATGCTGTATGCACACTGGTCGCAATGTTTCCTTTTTGTACCGAGCTGCGCCGAGTGCCTTTGCTCAATCAGACCAATTCTGCAGAGCAAGTATCAGAGGAAGCGTCAGCTGCAGACAGAAAAAAACATATCCACACCATCTACGTCAGTATCGAGGCAGAGAGGAATGAATACATACACAGTCACACGTCTAGACTTAATAATATATTAATGATATTCCTCAATTCATCACACGGGCTGTTAAGGTACACAATGAGGGCAAGTTGTCAGAAACATGCCCGGAAGCCCGAGTATCTTCAAATCTCCAAGCACACAATTTAGGCTGTCTAGCTACGAAAGGCATATTTATTTAAGAAAAATTCAGCTAACATAGCAAAGGGTGTTGAAAATAATACTATTTTTATTTTGCAGAAATGAATAAATTAATATTCTTTGGGTCCTTCGTTAAAGGCACGTAGATAGAAAAAATATAATAAAATAATAATATCATGACGTTTAGATCGCAACACAAGCAATCGTCATCAGGTGAGAGCTGCTGAGGCAGGAAAAACATATGGCAGGAGCACTGCTAAGGCAGGGATTTAAAGGTCAGAGATGGGTGTAGCCAAAGGGTCAGTGGGTGGGGCTAGATATGAAATTTGCATGTAAATGTAAGATAGGAGACATCTTATTCTTAGTTTTTCGGTAAAGTCACGTTGAAGAGAAACAACAAAATAATAAAATATATATAAAACAATAAAACATTCTCACGGCGTTTCGACCATAACTCAAACGGTCATCTTCAGGTGTGTTGGTTTGCATAAATGTATTTTTAAACGGCGCATTTATTTATTTATAAAAAACGTTAGCGTCACGCGCAGCGATTTGGCAGTTTACCCAGGACTAGTCCATCTATATTTTGAAAAGAGGAGGGGGGGAGACGAAATTTTTTATAATGTATGCTGTCTGAAAGCCAATGTAAGCGTGAACAATCAATTAAGAACTGAAATGGTTTATCAAATCTTTCCAATGATTGCTAAGATAGAATCCATCTTCTCGGTTGAAATTGTCTCTGTGCTTGTATATGTGGATAGCCTCATGAACGAATCTCTCATGGAAGCCAGATGGCTTACAAAGAACCTCTGTCTTGGAAAAGTCAATGGCATGTGAGCCTACTGAATTAGAACAATGATCTGCTACGGCCGAGGTGTTGGTCCAACCGTGTTTAAGGTCTGCTTTGTGTTCACGAATGCGGTCCGAGACATGGCGTTTGGTTTCTCCAATGTAACTACTACCACAGAGGCAACTTAGTTTGTAGACACCAGGGTATGGTATGTCCGGAATCACATCTTTTACAGACGGAACCAGATCACGGATTTTATGTAATGTGTTGAAACGGACCTGGATCTTGTGTTTATTCAAGATTTTGGAGATCTTTTTTTTTTTCACGTAACTTTAAGATCCTTCAACAAACTCCGGGATAAGAAAGCTCAGCTGATCGAGTCTCTCACCTTCCTGAAGAGATGCCGAAACTCTGGGGTAATACCAATCGCATTTACACTGACCTCTGCTGCTGTAACTTCTTCTAATGCGAAACGAATTCTTTTCAAAACCAGCTTAGCTCTTATCTCAGAAAAAATCAGACTTATACGCACAGAACTAGATCAGTTAGACAAGACACTCTACAAATCACACTTATCATTGACGGCAATAATGTCCACATCGGATTGGGAACATGTAGACAATATGACTGCCTCTTCAGCTGCTACTATGTCGACCAAATGTAAGGAAAACCTGATTTCCAAATTTAACCTCCTCTTCAACAAAAGACCGGACCCACACACCAAAAAGTTAGACGTTAATAAAGTCGTAATTAATCGCAGTAACAGTTCTATTTCCGATGGTCTGAAATCCGTTTTAGCTAAAGGTCTAAACTTTGCAGTCACACCTAAACACATACCAGTTAATGATATAATTGCCCAAGTAGACGTTGCTCTCAGGGGCCTGGGTCACATCGCTGCAGACGTAGCAAGATCTGAAATCGCTGCAACCCTCAAAAACGCTAAGATGCCAGCTAGCAACCTCAGCAAAGATGAGCGTTTAGAATTATATAAATTAAAAAAGAGGAATGATATTGTAGTTCTCTCAGCTGACAAAGGCAATGCTACTGTCATCATGGATAAAATAGAATACAACAACAAAATTAAAGAATTACTCGACGATGGTAGTTATACAAAAATAAAAAGAGATCCCACCAACAGCCTCGTCACACAAACCAACAAAATAATTTCTGATTCAACCGCATTAATTGATCAATCTAAACAGTTTTCGTTGAAACCTTCTGCTGCCAGGCCACCAAGATTATACGGCTTACCAAAAATACATAAAGTTGATACACCTCTTCGTCCCATAGTCTCTACTATCAGCTCCCCCACCTACAAACTAGCTCGTTTTTTGTCTGAAATCCTGCGTCCTTTCACTGGAAAGACCACCTCTGCGGTACAAAATTCTACTCACCTGGTATCGACAATCAAGGGTATTTCCCTGTCCCCAGACGACCTGCTTGTCAGTTTTGATGTAGTTTCCTTATTCACCAAGGTTCCTGTACCTGACACCATTGCAATCATTGAAAACTTGGTTCATCAAGGACTAAACACTGAGGTACCCCCCCCTGGCGAGACACTGTTTAACCAATACATACTTCACTTGGAATGGAACTTTCTACAAACAAACTAAGGGCACCCCAATGGGCTCCCCCCTTTCTCCAGTTATAGCTAACATTTTCATGGAGAAATTTGAGACTGACACCATCCAGACTGCCACTCTGCGCCCAACCTTATGGAAGAGGTACGTGGATGACACTTTTGTCATCTGGCCACATGGCCGGCCTGCTCTAGACCAATTCTTCGACCACATCAATTCCATATACCCAGCCATCAGATTTACCATGGAAGTCGAAATAGATGGCAAGATACCTTTTTTGGATGTCCTAATTAAAAAGAGACCTGATGGTTCAATGAGCCACTCTGTCTACAGGAAAGCTACCCATACGGATGCTTATCTGAAACCGGATTCCCACTAGGAACACATAAGCAGTGAACTCAAGCACGTACACCAAGCTCTTAGGGCTAATGGTTACTCCGACTATACAATCCGCAAAGCTATCACTCAAACCATGAAGAAGAACCCTCTTGAGGAGCCTTTCAAAACCACCACTTTACCCTACATTGCTGGGATCACAAAAAAGATCTCCAAAATCTTGAATAAACACAAGATCCAGGTCCGTTTCAACACATTACATAAAATCCGTGATCTGGTTCCGTCTGTAAAAGATGTGATTCCGGACATACAATACCCTGGTGTCTACAAACTAAGTTGCCTCTGTGGTAGTAGTTACATTGGAGAAACCAAACGCCATGTCTCGGACCGCATTCGTGAACACAAAGCAGACCTTAAACACGGTAGGACCAACACCTCGGCCGTAGCAGATCATTGTTCTAATTCAGTAGGCTCACATGCCATTGACTTTTCCAAGACAGAGGTTCTTTGTAAGCCATCTGGCTTCCATGAGAGATTCGTTCATGTGGCTATCCACATATACAAGCACAGACAATTTCAACCAAGAAGATGGATTCTATCTTAGCAATCATTGGAAAGATTTGATAAACCATTTCAGTTCTTAATTGATTGTTCACGCTTACATTGGCTTTCAGACAGCATACATTATAAAAAAATTCGTCTCCCCCCTCCTCTTTTCAAAATATAGATGGACTAGTCCTGGGTAAACTGCCAAATCGCTGCGCGTGACGCTAACGTTTTTTATAAATAAATAAATGCGCCGTTTAAAAATACATTTATGCAAACCAACACACCTGAAGATGACCGTTTGAGTTATGGTCGAAACGTCGTGAGAATTTTTTTATTGTTTTATACATATTTTATTATTTTGTTGTTTCTCTTCAACGTGACTTTACCGAAAAAACATAGAATATGAATTACTGCAGTCACGAAAGCTTTAAATCAAAATTTAGGAGACATCTTGATAAACGAAGTTGTGGGGGTGGCCATTGTATTGTGAGATTAGCATGTCAATGTAAGAAATTTGCTTGTAAATGTAAGCTAGGGAGAGCTCGGACATTGCCACATGGAGGTGGATAAAGTAATGTTCAATCGAAATTTCGAGGTGTGAAGCCAGGCTCAGATTTTCTTGAATGCTCGGATGAACAGATCTAACTTCAGCTGCATATGTGCTGAGATATTTTCCTGACCATTTCCATTCTTACAAAAAGTTCCAGAGGAAAACTAAAATAAACTATTCTTTTGATTTAAGCTCCTTGTTCAATGGTTAATATACTTTACTACAAATACAATCTTGACACTGTCACACACTGGCATGGGAAATAGGTGGTGGTGTGTCCAGAACCATTCCTTGCGCCTTCATCTGCTCAGTATTAATGCTTCCTCACTTCACCATGTAATTAATTTAAGATCAATCGACATAGCAGAGGCCTACAATAAGTTCAGCTTTCACTTGTCAATCGTGTTTGCTGTTGGCAATAATCAATCTATTTGTTGAGTTCATAATGTAATGAAATAACTGCACCACTGCTGCCCATAAAGATAAACTATTAAATACACGTACATTTCACATAGATCATTAACATATTCGAAAAAAAAATCCACTATTCATGACTAATTGGAAGTAACCTTATCACAGTGCCAATACCATGATAGGTGCAATTTAACGCCATGTAAGTGGCCTTAAATTTGTCTCAGATGGACTAGACCTTGGCGATGGACACTCACAGCTTTGTATGGAGCAAAATTCTAGGCACCTTCCACACATGATAATGGGTTTGTCCCCTTTTGTTCTGGCAACAAACCAGGTGTTAAGATGTTAAACCACCAAACTGAAACCTTTTACAATCATGTCTGCGTTAACCACTGCTTGTGGTCAGAATGCAAAAAAAAACACTGATAATATATGCATTGTCTTTGAAACTGATTGGTCCACACCAGACAGCTTTCTTTTGAGCCTCATCTCAAACGGTGTTAGACCAGAGGACGCCAAAAGGCGTACAGCACAAAGACAATGCACTATCAGAATATTGAGAGCTCGGTGAGCATCTA